CCAATCTTAGCCTCCTGAATAGCTAGGATTACAGGCATGTGTCACTGGTGCCTGGCACTTTTTTTTTTCTAATGGATACAACACAAAAAATTAATTTCTTTACAATTACATATTTCTAAAAACATGATCTTCAGGAAACGACATTGTTTATCTTGGTTTTTTTGTTTCTTTTCCTTTGATCCTGGAGCCTGAACTCTGGGCCTGGGGCACTGTCCCTCAGCTCGCGCTCTACCACTTGAGCCACAGCATTACTTCCAGCTTTTTCTGCTTAGATGATGCTGAGGAATCGAACCTAGGGCCTCATGCATGTAAGGCAAGCGCTCTGCCACTGAGCCACCTTCCAAGTCCCCATCTTGTTATTTTTAACAAATTATAAATCTTTTTTTTTTTTTTTGCAAAAATACTTGCTACCTATTAGAGGCTTTCTTAAGGCTTCTCTTAGTTCTAAGGTACTCAGGTCATTCTCTTTTATTTTTTTTTTCTTCCTTTGTTGGTGCTGGGGGTTGAACCTAGGTAATTGTGCATGCTAAATACATGCTACCCCACGGAGCCAGACCACAAGCCCTATAAAGTTCTCTTTTGGTACACTTCCCTTGCTGGTTCTTACTTTAACCATCGTTCATGCCTCCAGTGTTACTAGGTTTTCATCTGATGGTATTTCTGTATGAAAATCATACAATATGTTTGATATTTTGCATAGTATTTTCAGAGTTTATCAGCAAAAAGGTTGACTAAGGAATACTTTGATGGAAAGGGATTAAAGTATAGCTGAAGTTAGAGACTTGTCTGAAAGATGAGTCATTTTATATTGATCCATTCTTGAGTAGCTCTGTGTGTGTGTGTGTGTGTGTGTGTGTGTGTGTGTGTGTGGTGTGTGTGTGTGTGTGACAGAGAGAGAGCTGTTACTGGGACTTGAACTCAGGGCCTTTCAAGGCTTTTTCACTTACACTTGGCACTGTACCACTTGAGCCAGACCTCCTTCCCTGATTTTTGCTGGTAAATTGGTGATAAGTCTTTTGGATTTGTCTACCCTGGCTGGCTCCAAACCTTGATCCTCAGTCTTCTGAGTAACTAGGATTATCAGTATGAGCCTCTAGCTCTTTGCTTGAGTGACTTTGTTGGTGGTGGTGGTGGCCTTGGGGCACTGTCCCTGCGCTCTTCAGTTCAAGGCAAGCGCTCTACCACATGAGCCACAGCGCCACTTCTTGTTTTCTTGTGGTTCATTGGAGATAAGAGTCTCATGGACTTTCCTACACAGGCTGGCTTTGAACCATGATCCTCAGATCTCAGCCTCCTTAGTAGCTAGGATTATAAGCATGAGCCACCAGCACCTGGCTTGAGTGACTTTTGATGTTACAACAGTGTTAACATTTTTACAGTTGAAGACGCTGGGAAATTAGGTCATAAATACTTGCATAGTGAAGCTACCCTGTACTAATGGATAATTTAAATTCTACTGATTAAATTCTACTGATTAAATTTCTGATTTGCATGAATGTGTATTTTGGAGCCTACCTTTTCCTTTCATTTTTGGCCTTCCCTCTGACAAGAACTAGAACGTAGATTTATATAGAAAAATGTACTGTTCCCTTCCTCATCTCTACCACAAAATGATTATTCACAAGCCCTGGTATTGAGTTATGCACTTAACCAAAAGGGTTTGGGGATGTTCCTGTGTCCATTGTTAATTGTGTTGTAAACATCAGGACTTGGAACCAGTTTTCTGGTTGTTGTAATTCTTTGGGAACTTCTCCAACCTTTATAGCTGGTTACTAATTCAGAGAACAAGAGGGTTTTTTGTTATCCATTAATGGATAACAAAACAAAATAATGGATAACTAGCTTCGTACCGGGTACATTCCCAGTTGAATTACTTAGATTTTGCTCTATCCAGCTATTTAATCAAAACAGTAATACTTCAAATTCTTTTTGATGGTGTAAACAGTATTGATCTCTTGACCTCTATATATTATTTGAAGAAACCTCAGAACATTTGAACGACAAGTTTCTTAAGTAGTGTTTGGTTTACCAAGACAACTTGGCTTCGACCTGTTCCTGCTTGTGAAAAGAAGAGGCTGGTGACTACTATTGGCCCTGTAGAAGGCTGAACAGTTAGGCCTTTGTTCTTTCTCACTGTTTTCCATCTTCTAGGACAAACAAGGACTTCCCTGGTGGCTTGGAATCAGCTATAAAGGGATCGGCCAGTATGATATACAGGATAAAGTGAAGCCTCGGAAAGTAAGTGTGACTCACTTTATAAACCTAGGAGGACCTTGAACTGATAGAGAAGCTGGCCACACCACTGTCAGGAGGCCCTGGAAGGATCTTGGCAAACCACTTAGCTTAGTGAAGCCATGGGTCTGGAAGAACTCAAGTGAACTATGAAGTTTTTTGTTGTTGTTGTTGTGGTTTAGTTTTGTCAGTCATGGGGCTTAAACTCTAGGCCTGGGCGATGTCCCTCAGCTCTTCAGCTCAAGGCAAGTGCTCTACCACTTGAGCCACTGCACCACTTCCGGTTTTCTGGTGGTTAATTGGAGATAAGAGTCTCATGGACTTTCCTATCCAGGCTGGCTTTGAAGCTGGCTTTGAAGCATGATCCTCAGCTCTCAGCTTCCTGAGTAGCTAGGATTACAGGTGTGAGCCACTGATGCCCAGAAAACTATGAAGTTGTTTTACAACTCGTTTGTGCACTATCTGCATGATTCTCTTCAATGATGCCAATCTGCACTGAGGTTTAGTTACCAGAATACAGACTGTAATGTATCTCCTAAGCACCTACACATACGTTTCTGTTTTTTTAAGTTAGCATGAGTAGAAGGTTGCCATGTATTTTATAAAGTTTACATTTGTATATGTATGTACATGAATACATACATACATAGTTACATACTCTTGCAGGGTTAGGTAGTCCAATGAATATATTTTAAATCCAGAATTTGGGGTACCAATTACTTTTTAATATTATGGTTATAAGTCATCTTCATGCTGCAACTGCTTTTACTGTTTACTTATCTTTTTGTGTGTTTGATGGTACTGAGGTTTGAACTCAAGGCTTTGTGTTTTGCCTTGTGTTCTACCACTTGAGCCAGTCCTGCAGAGCACTTTGCTGATTATTTCAAAGATAGAGTCTAGCAAATTTTTCTGCCTGAGCTGAGCTGGCCTTCAACCTCAGTCCTCCAGATCTCAGCCTCCTGAGCAGGTCAGATTATTGGCATGGGCCACCAGTGCCTCGCTCTACTTTTTCCTCATCACTGTTTCAATTTTCTGAGATAAACATGTTTATTTTTTGTAAAGAAAGCTAAAGAAGGCACTACATATGAAAAGGTAAGACTCATAGTCTCTGAGATTTGGATTTTCCAGAGCATGAATTGGTACTTAAGATTGATTACGAAGTTGCCTCTCTTGACTGAAAGCATAAGCATCCCGTAGATTTTTTTTGCCTATGTAAGAATTGATGAGTTCATGCAGATCATCATCCAGTTGCTGTTGGCCCTTTGAGAATCATTTCAGTGACAGACAAGCTCTACTCCTGATGTCTGATTGGTTGTGCCACCATCATAAGCAGCTGCAGGAGTGAAACAATGCCTGTGTCAGCAGATCCTGGTTAGCCTACCTGCATCATCTCCACTAGCATCACAGCCTTAAATCCCTCCTCGCTGGTCCGTCTGTCTCAGGTCCTACTTTTCTTTTTTTTTTTTTTTGTCGGTCGTGCGTGGGGCTTGAACTCTGGGCCTGGGCGCTGTCCCTCAGCTCTTCAGCTCAAGGCGAG